CCTACAAAGAGAGGCTGAGAAAGTTGGGGCTGTTCAGCCTAGAGAAGAAAAAAGAGTTTTGTGGAAATCTTGGAACAACCTTGCAGTATCCTGTTCACTGGACAACATTTTTCTTTTTAATAGCTAAGTTTAACTAGAAGGAAAAACAGAACTTGGGCATTTTTTGCCTTTTTTTTTTTAATAATTATCTGAACATTACCTAGCTAAGTATTTTTTAAAAAGCATTTGATTGTATCAAACCTAAGTGTCTCTTCATTAGTAACTTAATGCACCTGCCCTTTCCAGAGAATTTAGTGAAGGTTCCTGCTACTAAATGCTGTTTGCATTAATGGGTTTCTTCCAAATGCAGGGCTAATGGGCAGATTCCCAGCTCTGCAGGCTGGAAGTGATTTGAATAATTTGTCCATATCACATTGCTGATTTCTCAGGCTAACATTTCTGAGGCTGCAGGTGTCTGCTTTCCCTGAGGTTTGTTGTTTACTGCTCTGGGTGTAATGCTGACATCCTGCTGATTGTTTCTTTGCTGTGAAGCAGCTGCTTTAGAGAGAAGGGAAAAAGTTATGGATCTGGATCTTATGATTAACAAAGGCTGAGGAGTTGGAGTCAAATACTATGAGAGTTGTAAAAATCACGGTTTGAGATGTGGAGAATAAAATTGGTGATGGTTCCTCAAGAACTGGCATCACGTGAAGCTTTGCTCCCATCCTGCTCATGGGTGGCCTTTGGATTTCCAAAGCAGAGCACATTTTTTGTATCTGAAACATCAGGAGCTGTTGGGAAGTGAGAAGTCCTTCAGTCCCTTTTGCTCATCTGTCCTTGTCCCTGAAATTACCCAAAACCTTTTGAATCCTGGCAAATTTCTGGTTCCTTATTTGTCTGATTTATTTTGAAGCACAAGTAGGAGAATAAATACCAAGGGTTAAGCAAATAACTTGGCACACTCATACAAAGGGTTAAGGAAATGGCTTTGCACGCTCTTTATAAATGTATTTTTAATAGAAATCAGGGTTTGTGGCATTTTAAAAAGGTGGTGGAATAAGCCTTTCTTGGGTTTGCCAAAGGATGTTGGATGGTTTGGAATCTTGGTGTCTGGAGAAGACTGAATGGAGAAGTGTTGAAATCTGTTTTTTCACAAGGGTACATAGTGACAGGACAAGGGGGAACGGCCTCAAGCTGAAGGAGGATGGGTTTAGATTCGACTTTAGGAAGGAATTGTCTTTCAAACTTTCAAACAATTAGTGGACAATGAAGAAATTCAGGGTGCTGTGTCCCAGAGGCCACCAAAATGGCAAAACCTCCGTGTGCCTGGACAGTCCCTGCTCGTTCTGCCCAGATCCTGGCAGGAGCTTTCTGGATTTCATCCCTGTTGACCCTGTCTGGATTCCAGACTCCCACCAAAGCTTCTCCTCAGTGCTCCCCACAGCTGGACAGGAGAGAGAAAATAGAATTAATAGAATTCCCATGGGATCTCCTGGGAATGTCAGCTCTGAAGCAGCTCCTGCCCTGCCCTGGTTGTTCTCTCATATTCTCATTTCACTTTGCTCTGTCCAGCTGCACAAAACTTTTTTTTTTTTGCTCTTAAATCCATTATCCCAGAGGCATCCTCACCATTCCTGGTTGGCCCAGCCTGGTGGGTCCATCCTGGAGCTGGCTGGAATTGGCTCTGCTGGATGTGGAGGAAGCTCCCAGAAACCCTCCTGTGGCCCCCTGTCTTGGTTTGAAAGACAGGTGTCTGCTGAGGAAGGCAGGAGCTTCTCTTGAAATGGAAAATGTAAACTCCCTCCCTCCAAATTATTGTAATTTTGAAATTAAGGAGCTCTCAGGTGAAGATATGGGAAGAGGAATAACAGTTCTTTACTAGGAAAATTAAAATAGAAATACAGGATTACAAAAACCAAAACACTGACAGAGCGAGAATCCAAGGTGTCCCTGTCAGTCAGTCAGGGGTTGGTGCAGTCCCATTCCATGGTGGCTGCATCCTCCTGCAGTGACAGATGTGGTTCTGCTGGAGCAGGGCTCCTGCACAAGGTGCAGTTTTCCTCCAAAGCTCCAGGGATGATGTGGAAGGCTCTGGTTTTCCTCTGGGATCCAGTGGGAAAAGGCTGCTCTGCTGTTCCAAATCTCAGATTTTATCTGGGTAGGAAATGCTTGGCTCCTCCCCCTGGGTGGAGCATCTGCCAATGGGATGATGGAATTTTATCAGTTAATTAGTGGGACCCAGTGGGATGATGGAATTTTATCAGTTAATTAGTGGGACCCAATGGGATGATGGAATTTTATCAGTTAATTAGTGGGACCCAATGGGATGATGGAATTTTACCAGCCATGCCCTGGGACTCCATGGCCCATTAACAGGAGAGATCTCCTGGAGGGAGGATGGGCTGTGAAAAGATAAAGAACACTGCCCCAGCTGGGTTAACACCTGACCCATTAACAGCAGATATCTCCCATGGAGATCAGGATCCCTGCCCCAGCTGGTTTAACAGATGGTGATAGAATACACACCCCTGGTGACATCCCACACCCTGCCCACACAAACCCAGCACAGCCATTCTGTGTCTGGGCTGTTCCATGGAGCACTTTGGGGCCTCTCAGAGCATTGTGCAGCCCCAGCTGGGGGTGCTCCATCCCCATTATCCCGGTGCTTTTCCATCCCCATTATCCCAGGAGAACGCTGCCAATCCAACACCCATCCCCTGGTGTGCTGAGCTATTCCTGGAGGGTTTGGAGTGTGTTCCCTTTCGTGCCTCAAAGTGCCTGCCTGAAAATCTTCCCACTTTGTCTGCTCTGGGATGAAGCTGTCACTGATTCCACCATCCTGAGGAGCTTCTGATGTTAAAGGGGGTGCTGGTGGGAATGGCTATGCGATAATAATTTGATTTTTAATAGAATGCTATTAATATATTAATATTTTAGCAGTCTCACACCCCCTAGGTTTAACATTCTCTAATATTTCAGTGGTCAGCTGTGTGTTTTTAATGCTCTGTAGTGTGAGCAGAGATGGCCATCAGAAATGTTAACATTTAATGTTAAACAGTCTTTTCCTGATCTTCTCTCAAATAAATGATCTTTTCTCTTTTTAAATGCTTCGTCCCCTAGAACAAATCCCTTCTTGTAGAACTGCAAATTTTTTATTTTTTTCTTAAACCAAAACATTATAAAACTCCCATTTGGGAGCTACCCAATTATATCTTACAATAATTCTATTGAATGATCTATAGCTCCACTTTTATTCCCTATTAGTATTTGGCTGATCAATGGGCAGCCTAATTGATTGTTAAGGTCAAATGTCTTTATTGGCTGCTGCCCCAATCTTTTCTCATTATGACATAAACCATCCTCTGGTCTGTTGGAGTTCTTGTACTCATTTTTGTATACACCAGAACCATAAATTTAATTCTGTAGATGTTGGTGAACAACATAATTAATGTTGTTATGTCAGTCAAGATAATCCCAATAAAATGGAGTTTCCTTTTTCACCCAGCTTAGTGCTAGAGATCTATTGAAAGGTTCATATTTCCCTCTGAATTTTAATTTTAATATATTTTTAAGCTGGGGTCTCACTTGTAATTCAGAAGTTTCCCCCCACTTTTCCCTCTGTTTCTGTGATCTCAGCATTTACTGGGGCTGGCACGATGGATATCGATCCCTGCTGCTTTTCCTAAGATGTTTCTAACTGGATTAGTTGGCCAAAACTCCCATAAAATTGATGAAGCTGCATCATCCATTCATAAAACCCTTTAGTGAGGCTGCTTTAGGATGAGCAGAATTGCTGGGAGTCTGAACTGTAACAGCAATGTGGAATAATGATTTTGGATAATCTTTGCAGATAAATCCAACTCCTGGAGATGAGGTCACAGAGATCCTGCAGTGCCTGAAAATGAAATTCCCTGCCCTAGCAGGGGTTTTGTCACTGCCCCAAGGCTTGTGGCACCTTCTGGAATTCAGTTTTCCTGGGTGTTTTGGGCTGGGATCAGATCCTGGAGCTCTGGGCTTCCATGGAAGGGAATCTGAGCCAGGAGTGAGAGAATTACCTGGAAATCCAGAGCATGGCAGAGGTTTAGCTCAGTGTAGGTAGGGCTTTATTGCAGGTTTAGGATTAAACTGGATTTTTAGTCATTTTGGAGAAATCCAAAAGCATGGAAATCCAGAGCATGGCAGAGGTTCAATTTGAGGCAGGTAGGACTTTATTGCAGGTTTAGGATTAGGATTAAACTGGATTTTGGTAATTTTGGAGAAATCCAAAACCATGGAAATCCAGAGCATGGCAGAGATTTAGCTCAGCCTAGGTATGGCTTTATTGCAGGTTTAGGATTAGGATTAAACTGGATTTTGGTGGTTTTGGAGATGTCTTTCAGCCTTGTAGGGTTGGTGGCTCTCCAGTTTTTCTCCCAATATTCATATTTTTGAAGAAGTTTCTTCCCTGCTTTTTTTAATTCTTAACCAGACTTCCATTGAGTCATCTGGCAGAATCTAAGTGAAGGAAATATTCTTTCCCTATCTGCTTGATTAAAGAAAATCAGGAGAATTTGGGGCAAAATCTTTGTCTGGGAACTAGAAATAGGAATATTTAGGATGTTGTAAGAGCTTTGTTGTGTTAAAATGCATCTGAAAATACTTGATTCGTTACACAAAGATATTTCTTTTGGTTTTATATGAATAAAAAGCCACATTTTATGACTTTACTTTTTATGTCTGTCTCATCTCCATGGTTTTACTTTACAAACACATATTTCTGAAGAAAGATACTTAATTTAATGTATAGTCCATGTTGCTTAATTTTTGAAAGATTGCGCTAATTGAAAATTAATAAGAAAAAATTTTAAAGGCTCGCTGGTGTTGTGCTAAAATTTCAAAGATGGTTCCACCACAAGAAAGCAACTCCAACTGCTGTGAGGAAAAAAAGCAAATAAACAATCGAGGGCACTGTGTTATGCAGTTGTTTCTGAAATTGGGAATGAGTTGTGTTAACGTTTCATTGAATTTTCTGTTAATTGCAGTTCATGATGAAGAGCTGAAGAAAAGAATAGCTGAGGAACTGGCACTGGAACGAGCCAGGAGAGACTCTGAAGCTCAGAAGAGGAGGTTGGTTCATTAATAACAGTATTTCAAACAAATTTGGATTTCCTGCTTTTATTTTAATTTATTTTCTTTTATTTATCTGCTTACTGGAAATAATTTTGTGTCCCAAGACAAATTGGCTGTGAGAGCTCTGGGGGCTGCAGCAGGTTTGGATATTAAATCCATGTTCAACAATAAATGAGCTGGAATTTCCTTGTAAAAGCTGATCCAAACTGTTGCTCTAAATCCCTTTTGACCTCCTGAGTGTGGCTTTTTTTTTTGCTGCATTTTAAGCTCAAGCTTTGCTGATTTCTCTGGAGCCTAAATAATCATTTTGTGCTGCAAGGACAGAGCAGGGCTGGGGTCCCTGTGACCCCAAGGGCTGAGCAAAAGTACCTTGGAACAGCAGCAGAAATGGGAATTCTGGAAATTTCTGGGAATTCTGGAGATTTCTGGGAGCTGCAGGATGTTTTGAGGTACTTTGAATATGTAAAATATTCTATTAAAGCAGTTCACACCAGTAAAACCCTTTGGATTCCTTTCTGTATATTGAAATATTTCTTTCTTGAGCATTTTTTTTTCCCTCAGAGGTTGCAGTGACTGGGAAATCCTGGGCAGAGACATTATTAGCAATTAAAAAATTCTTTCTTAAATTTAGAAATTTTGGTATATGCTGAACTTCTGTGTTGATTTGTCCTTTCAGTGATTGTTGTAAATAAATACCACAACACACCAAGTACAAATAGCAATATTCCACATGGTCCTCCAGTGAGAATGGGGAGAAAGGCTCATTATGATGGATTAAAAAAAATTAGGTTGTAATTAGTACTACTTCAACTGTCTGCATAGATCTCAGTTGTTTCCTACCCAGCATTCTGTTATTTAATTGAGTTAGCTTGATGGAGTATATAATTAGATAGGACTATATTAATGTCCCAGGGAAAAAAAAAAAAAAAAAAAATTTTTTTTTTTTTTTTTTTTTTTGCATCAGCAATAAAGGAAATCAATAAGTTACAGTGAAATCCCCCCCTCTCCTCTACTGGGCTTTGAGAGGAAAACTTGAGTTATTTTTGAGCTTCTTGAGTGCTCAAGACTTCAGCTAAATGGGATTAAAATATGGAAATATTTGGTTTGCAACTTCAGCATTTTGTCATGAGACACTTTCAGTACCTTCCAGAATTCAGCTTGCAGGGGTTGTGCATTGGTCTGTGAAAGGGAGGGAGCAGATTGGGTAAAATATCAAAATAAATTCATGATGATGATGATAAAGAAAGGAAAAATATCCAAACTTGTTAACAGTTTTACTTCTTTCCTAGTTTTGATTTATTTAATTAATTTTTAGCTGTAGCAAGGATTGTTTTATTATCATTTTTAAACAATATTTGCAATTATAAAAATCTGTTTTTTAACAGGACATAAAGACTTTTTCATCTTGGATGAAACAACTGTAAAAGATGCAGATCTTTTTCCATAAGTAAAACTTTAAATCTTTATGAGCTGAATTCTGGTGGAGGTTTGTGTTTTGAAAACATTCAAGAAACTCAAATTATTCAGATAAATTATTTTCTCTTGCATGTGCAGAATGTTCCAGCTAATAGAAACATGGAATAGAAACTGTAATAATTTGTAATATAAATACAAAAACGTTGATGCAGTGTTAAAAAACAGAACAAAAACCCGACTTCTACATTTAAACTTCTTGACCTTGCCCTTGTGATTTATTAATAATTTCATTTCATATCCCACTAATTTTAAGTCAAATCCTGTTGGGATGTGACATAAAAATTAAAGTTTTTACCTCCACATTCATCTTATGGATTGTTTTACCATGGGTGGTATATTTTACATGTTTATGTTCTCACTTCTTTCTCTAAATTAGGGTTTTTTCCTAATATTTAAATGAAATAATGTTTAAACATAAAAATAGCTGAAACTTTTGACTGTTTGTTGTCTGATTCCAAACTGCCTAATAGCTGATTTTGATGCTGTTCTCTGAGCAGTGTATGACCACAATTTGATTTGATTGCAAAATATCTTTTACTCATTTCAGACTGTGAAGGGAAGAAATCTAAATTTGAACTTCTAGATAAATTATTTATTCACACATTCATACACAGTACAGATGGGCTGCTCTACATCAAGTTAAAAATCTGTGTTTATTTTGGGGATTAGAGCTGAAGAATGACTCTTAAATGGTATTTTAATGCCATTAACTCTCTAACAATATGACAGCTTTTATTTAACAGGATTTGCAATAATTAATAAAGGAGTGGTTTAGACCCACCTTCGAATATATTTCCAAAATTTTGATTCCACTTTCCTTCTCCTTTTACTCAGCCCAACTCTTGTTCCTCACTTTGGTTTTTTAACATTTTGAAATGTTTTATCTGGAAAGCATTTTAATTTCAGAAAGTTCATTTAGAAAATTGATTATCATTGATTTACAAGAGAATTTGCAGTGTCTGCAATAGTAACTGTGAGCAGTTAATGTGTCAGAGCTGCAGTCTTAGGGTGATGCTCAAGGGAACAAAAAAATGAAAGGATGGACACAAAAACTTGAGCTTGACAGTGGTGACAGGTAATAAATGATAATTAAGAGAAGAATTCTGAATAATAAAGAAGAGAAATCCACTCGACTCAATAGACCAATGGGTGGTAATTTGAATTTTGCTTTTTCTCTGCTTATTCTGGACAAACTCAGCAAACTTTTAGCTTTTTATCCTAATTTCTCAAGAAAATGAGAACATTTTTAATGTTATTGCTTTGAGAACAGACATTGTGAAAATAAGGAAATTTCCTTTTCCCATCAGAGAACAGAGTGGAGTTTATCCACTCCATCCCTTAACTTTGTCCTTGGCTCCAAAACTCATCATTTCTTGGGCTCCATGATAATGATGGTGCTCAGTAAATCTGTTTTTCAAGTTTGCTTGATGAAAAATGCAGGCAAAGTAAAAAAGTATTTTGAGACAGCAAAAAGAACAACTTCTATCATCAGCATAATGATAAAATTTTAGATACTGCCAACCTCATCAGAGTGCTGGATTCCTCCTCTAAAATACACAAACCATTGCTTCAGAGGCAAGTGATGGATGTGATTTCCCATGGAAATTGAATGTTCCTGAATAATGACTTGCCATTTTTTTCCCCTCCTGAAAATCAGAGAAATTTCAATCTTTTTATTTTGTTAATCATTTAGCTCAGGCTAATTATATTTGGGTGGGGTTCCGTTTTTTTGCTTAGCGAGTGTTTCCCAGCTTTCACTTTTTAAATCTGATTTGGCACGGGGCAAATATTAATTAATATATGTAGAGTGAGGTGTTTTTGCAAACTGCTGTGCATGGCAGTGCCTTCAATAGTGCAGGAAGTGTATTTCATTCAAATCTTCAATATCTTCATGCCTGGAATTGTTTTGCTGTGCCAGAATCTGTCCCTGTGCACTTTGCTCGTGACTGTCCTGTGATTCCAGGACTTGTCTCTCTTAGAGGAAAAGTCCTGCTGTAAGGAGGAATTTTAAGGCAGGAAAAAGCTTAAAAATAGATTTTGGTTTGCTTTGGTGGCTCTTCACTGCCAGCTCTGCTCTAGAAGTGTTTAAGGTGTGACAGAGGAGGAGAGGAGAAGGCTCCAGGGAGAGCTCAGAGCCCCTTCCAGGAGAGCTGGAGATGGACTGGGGACAAGGGACAGAGGGACAGGACACAGGGAATGGCTTCCAGTGCCAGAGGGCAGGGGTGGATGGGATCTTGGGAATTGGGAATTGCTGGCTGGGCTGGAATTGCCAGAGAATCCCTGGAATGTCCAAGGCCAGGCTGGACATTGGGGCTTGGAGCACCCTGGGACAGTGGGAGGTGTCCCTGCCATGGCAGGGGTGGCACTGGAGGGGCTTCAAGGTCATTCCCACCCAAACCATTCCAGGATTCTCTGGTGGCTTTTGATAACTGAGTTTTTTCTGTGTCTCTGCCATGTCATCACCTGTGACCAGGTGGTGTAACTTGGGTAACTTTTCTCTTGAAAAGCACATGAAAAATCCTTTCCTTGAGTAATGCAGATGGGAGCTCATTGAGCATTGCTGGATTCTGTTCTCTGGGCTCCAGAGGGTGTGACATTTTATCTGCCATCAGCTGATTGCAGCCTCTATTTGTGACATCCTCATCTGTTTGGAACAATGTTTCTAAATTGTAAATCAGCTTTGACTTCACCCTGGTGGCACAGAGTGCTCTGTGGTGGGTTATTACAATTGGAACCATTAGATTTTTTTATTTGTTGTTTTGTTGTTGTGCTTCAAGGAGGGTCTGGAGATAACTGCTCATCAATCTGGGGTTTCATTGATGCTCTGAGTGCTTCCCCACAACCTCTTTTTTTTTTTTTTGTCATGTCTCAGCAGTACATTGCATAAATGATGAGCTCTTAGTAAACCTTGAGTAAAGAGTTGGTGCAGAACAAATTCACCAGTGAAATGTAAAGTGAGAGAAGAATGAAGAAGTGTATTGGACAAGAAGCCTTTGGGAAACTGCAAACCAAAATTGTTATATTAAAATCAATACTGGGGCTTGACCTTTCTGTGCTAGTGGATACTTTAAAACTTCTTATTGATTTCTGTTGTAATGACATGTTTATTCCAGTTTCCTGGCACAGGTGTGGAGAACAAGGGGGGAAATAAAATGATGGATTTCTTTACAGTATTCATTTTATATTTCAGTGAGGTAAAGGTATGAGGAGCATCTTAATGTATCTTCAGTTCATATGGGGAGCGAATTAATTGTGGTGAAAACTTCTTCAAAGCATTCTTTTCTCCTCAATTATTATTTTTTTTTCCCAAGCAATCAGCTATGTTGAATTGGGAAACCTGCTTTTTCTTGTAGGATTGTCCTCAGGGGGAACAAAAAGCTCCTTTTTAGGAAATACTTGTTACTTTGTCTTCTGCCACAGGGACCTGTTGGTATTGTTTGGATTAAGTGGGAAGAGAGTCTGGAAAACTCCATCTTCTCTGCTGCTGAGAGTCAGAGGAAAAGCTGGGAATACTCTGAAGC